GTGTGGACTGAGAGTACATATGGGGAGGTGGGTTAACTAGGTGATAATTGTACCTAAATGGAGTTTCAGTTGAGGAGGTGTAAAAGCCGAAGTAATTTGTAGGGTTGTAATTAGGTGGTAAGGATTTTGGAATGCTAGAGTGATTTGACTTATTCCTATGCCATGCAGGTGGATTTTAGGGAGTCGAGATGCAGTTATAGAAGTTTATTTGTTTTTGGTTGGAGTTTGGTGGACTTCTATTTGTTATGTCTACATACCCAGGGCGTTTTGGTTGTTCTGGTGTGCTTAATAAGGCCTTTTGGTTTATGTGGCTTATTCGGCAGTCTTTTTCTAGTACTGGTTGATCGGTTTTGGGGGGCGTAGTAAAACTTATATTGCTCTTTAATGGGGTCACATGACTGGGCCCGGGATCTGCGTCATCGTTCTGTTCTAGTTGAACGTTATTATTTTGTTGTGCCTCCCTCGTTTGTTTCTGCTCAGCAGTCCTAGCTGCTTTTGCAGTTGCGCGTTTTTTGACATGAGAATTAGAGTCTGAAGTACTTGCTGGAGGTCCTTCTACGGGGGCTGTGGGTTTATCATTTTGTTTACGCTGGCCTGTGCATTTCTTTTTATTAGTGCCAGAAGTAGAAGTAGTAGCTGGAGGTTCAGTTGAGGGACCGGAGTGCTGATTATCGTGTTTGTAGCTGGTGTCTGTTTCCCGAAGTTTACGTCTTTGCATTGGTGTCAAATCTGGACCTATAAATGAGTTTAGGTTCCGTAGATTTCTGGTTAATTTGGGGTTTTGTAGGATAAGCTCCGTTTCGGTCTGTGAGTAGAAGGTTACTAAGTCGGGTGTATTTTTGCTTCTGGAGTGAAGTCTTTTAGCATTATTATAATTGTTTATTAAAGACCCGTCGGGGTCCCATCAAAGCTACTCGGATGTTTAGTTCACACGAATGTATACGTTTTTGAATTGATGGTGTTGGGTTAATCGTGTGGTGTATCTTGCGGATAATTAAATTGAGTCTGCGTTTTGATCTATCCGCGACTTCTGACGAAACCAAATGTATTATCGATTCTATTTGTGGTAGGCTCGTTAGGCTGTTCGTGAATGTATTTGAGTCTGTTAGTGGGTCGAGAATCGTGAAAATGTGTTCATGTTTCTCGATAAACTTCTGTAAACGCACGATATCCGAAAGAGCTACTTTGTCGATAGCAAACGTAACATCGGTCATGGTTAATTGGAGATTTATGTGTCATTTTCGACAGCTAATAAAAATCGATTGAAAATCGACGCAGAAATATGTCAAATATTTCATTTATAAATGAATTTCAACTTATCTCGGATTTGAGGGTTTTGAACGGTTGTGCACAAACGGGCTGCAATATATGAGGAGCGGAGTCATTCAGGGTATTATACTCGACCCCCTATTATTTTGCCTTTTTGTTAAAGATATAGCACATTTATTTTAGAATGTTAAGCTCTTCATGTATGCCGATAATCTGAAAGTTGCATATAGATATAAGCCGGCAGATCGTGACATTGTGCTAGAGCTCCTAAAAGACGACCTATACGGGTTTGCCCAGTTGTGCCGCACATGGCGCCTTTCTCTTTCTTGGCGTAAATGCTCAGTCATGGTGGCTGGCGGCGACCACTAACCTCAACTAAATATTGATGGCCACGACCTAAATGTGGCTGATGTTATTGGGGATCTGAGTGTATTAATCTTTCGAAGCACTGTTCCCTGATAGTCTCCAAAGCACGTAGAACGACCGTGGTTATCCTCCAAAACTTTAAAACCAGCGATATTCGAATGCGCCCTTATAAAATGTACGTTAGACCTGGCCTGGGATACTGCTCGTTTTTATTTAGTCTCATGCATGCTGCCGAGCGCAAGAAAGTAGAATCCGTTCAGCATTTTTTTGTCAGAAGAGTTTTAACCTCGGGCCTCCGAAATTTGACTTGCTACGAACGTTGCGGGCTTACATGCCTCCAGCCCATGTGGTTTCTTGGATTACAAATGCAGTTATTTTTGTTGTTTTAATCTTGCTCTTGAAAGTGAAATTTATCCTACCTTGTGGAAGGAATCACACATTTTGCCCATTCCTAAGCACGGCAAGTCTACATCATTTGATGACTTTCGGCCAATAAACACCCTCCCTGCAGCTTCGAAAATCTTAGAGACATTGATCAAGGATAAGATGATGTGTCACTTAACAGCGAACAACTTACTGAGTGTTGCTCAGCGTGGATTCCTCAAAGCTCGATCTTGTGACACCTGTCAACTCTCTTTCTTTGACTATGTTCTCCAATCTAGGGACCATGGTTTTGCTCTTTACACAGTATATTTCGATTTCACTAAGGCTTTTGACCGTGTTGACCATGCTCTTCTCCTCTTGAAATTGTCATCTTTCGGAATAGGTGGCAAACTTTTGAATTTTATATCCTCTTATTTGGGCACTCGCACACAACGAGTTAAGATTTCCAATACCATCTCCAACCCCACACGTGTGAGGAGTGGAGTCATTCAGGGTAGTGTACTCGGCCCGCTTTTATTTTGCCTTTTCGTTAATGATGTACCCGATTTATTTCAGAATGGTAAGCCTTTCATGTATGCCGATGATCTTAAAGTTGCATATCGATATAGGCCGGCAGATCATGACATCGTGCTTGAGCTCCTAAAGAGCGATCTACAGGCTTTCGCCCAGTGGTGCCGCACATGGCGCCTTTCTCTTTCTTGGCATAAGTGCTCAGTCATGGTGGTTGGCGACGACCGCCAACCTCAACTAAGTATTGAAGGTCACGCAATAAATGTGCCAGGNGAATTTGACGTCCGATAATCTCCGATACCGTGCAACCTCCCCCCTTCTTGACGGTCGATATTCTACCACCGCCGACAGTTTTTTTTCTCCTGAGCCCTCCAAACCACAAAAACCACCATCAACTATATTTTTATGCCTTAAACTCAGGAGTTTTTTTTTTCACTGCTGGTCGGATTTGTGTTTAATCGCTTCCCTTGACAATGCCTGTAAACTGGCATTAAATTAAAATTTATTTATTTAAATAATCGTACTTTTGATCCGCTTGCTACCTAAAACCTCTTGATAGTCACCTACGCATCAGTCACCGCGAGGTGTATTTATTTCATTTGATGGCACGTGTAGTTAAATAGTGCTAGTTTTTTCTGTGAACATAATTGCAATTTGAAACGAGTTACTTAGAAATGTGAAAATTCTGCAAAATTTTTCTTTTCTGAATCTACCGCATTAATAATTCAGTAGTTTGGTATATTTAAACACAATAGGTTTTACATCTGGGGCCTATTTGAAGACGGCACATACAATATTCGGCGTCAGATGGACATGGTACCACGAATGACCGCGCAGCCGACATATTAAGTGAAGGCCTTAACCAAAATGTAACCATATCTTTCGTCAGCCGGAGATTGACATTCTTGTACACCAACGTGCAGAGTTTCCTATCAAAGCTCGACGAGCTAAAGATCCACCTCTGCGATCTATCCCCTGACGTAATCTCCTTAACAGAAACCTGATTGACCCAACACGTGGACGACCGTGAGCTGGCCTTGCCTGGCTACCAGATGTTTAGAAGGGATAGGGAAGGGCGTCAGGGAGGAGGCGTACTCACGTATGTGAAAAATGGTCTAAATGTATCGGACAAGACCGATAACTTTTCGTGCAGTTCCGAGGCAATCTGGCTGTCTATTAAAGTGCCGAGCTCGCCTAGCCTCGATGTCCTGACAGTTTATCGACCGCCGAGACGAGACAACATGGCCGACGCTCGCCTGCTGGAGGAGCTCGAAAAATTCGCTACGTGGCCGGGTATCCTGATCATGGGGGACTTTAACGCGCCCCATATTGACTGGAGCTCGACCCATGCAAATAGCTCAGAACAGACCTTCGATAGGAGTTTTCTGAACACGGCACTGAAGTTATTTCTCACTCAACACGTCATGTTACCAACTAGAGTACGCGAAGGCCAACAAGCCAACTGCCTTGATCTTGTCCTTACGAAGTCACAGGACAGCATTGACGAGGTGTCATGCCTACCCCCCTTAGGTAAAAGTGACCACGTCGTTCTTCTATGGGATTACTCGCTTTTTTCCATGCCCAAGAAACCCGTCACAATTAGAAGAAACCTTTGGCGCGGGGATTTCGACCAAATGAGGGCTGAACTTTTACGCATTGAGTGGGAGTCCATATTTGTTGGGAACATACTCGAAGACTGGCAACGGTTCCGAGAAATTCTGCACGAGCTGATCGTAAACCACTGTCCGCTTACACGGAAGAGGTTAACTAACAGGCCTAGTTGACTTACGCAAGCCTTGAAGAATGAAGTGAATAAAAAACGAAGGCTGTGGAAAAAATCGTTTTCTGACAGGTGTTCCATATCTATATGTGCGTACAAAGTTCAAAGAAATCGAGTCAAGGGCCTTATCCTCAAAACTAGAAGGGAATTCGGACGGGATCTCCTTGGCCGTGCCGCGCAGAACCCTAAATCATTCGACGGTTACATTAGGCAGTGCACGCGGAACAAGGACCCAATACCCCTGCTAAGGACTGCTGAAGGCGAACATCTTACTGACGACAGGGCGAAAGCTGATCACCTTTCAGAATTCCTTCGGTCTGTTTTTAGTAGCGAAACAGGATTCAACCCTTCGGCCCTTCAATCCTTCGAAGACACCCCAATTATAGAGACCGTTCAGTTCACTGAGGGTATAGTTCTGGCGGAGTTTCTGAGGCTAAAGGAATCCAAATCACCAGGTCCCGATGAGATTCCGGCGAAGATTTTGAAGGAACTCGCCGGTGAGTTGTCTAAGCCACTCTCCATGCTTTTCCATACATCCTTCGAGACCGGATCTCTGCCACCAGACTGGAAGTCGGCGTGGATTACGCCGCTGTAGAAGGGCGGAAGTCGGGTCTCTGCGAACAATTACGGACCTGTCAGCCTCACCTCCATTTGTTGTAAGATAATGGAGAAGATAATAAAGCAACAATTAATGCAGTTCCTTGAACAAAACCATTTGCTTTCCGATTCTCAGCATGGATTCCTCAAAAGCAGATCCTGTGTGACAAACCTGCTCTACTGTCTGGAACACTGGACTAGGGCTGTTGATAGAGGAGATACGGTGCATGCCGTCTATATCGACTTTAAAAAGGCCTTCGATAGTGTGCCTCACCACCGCCTTCTATACAAACTTAGCCATGCAGAAGTGCGAGGTAAGCTTCTGATGTGGATTCGGAGCTTTTTAATCGGCCGCTCTCAAGCCATCCACGTCAGCGATCAACAATCCGCCGAGGTTGCCGTTAGGAGTGGTGTTCCCCAAGGCTCTGTTCTTGGCCTTACACTGTTCCTCGTATACGTCAATGACTGCGCAAACGAACTGAATTGCGATGTCGCAATGTTTGCCGATGACATAAAGATCTGGAGTACCATACGAAGCGAAGTTGACGAGGCGCGACTGCAGACAAATCTGGACCACCTCGAGCAATGGTCGAAAGACCGGCTTCTACCGTTCAACGTAAACAAGAGTAACTTCCTACGCGTCGGCAGAACCAGTTCTCCTAACCACACGGTCTACCGTCTGACTGGCAAACCACTGCAAGAAGTCGACTCCCAGAAGGACTTGGGTGTATGGATCACCGGCTCGCTTAAGCCTTCACTGCAATGTTCAAAGGTGGCCAAGTCAGCGATGTCCATTCTATACCTCGTCAAACGGGCGTTCTCCTCCTTTGATGAAGACTGCTTCGCCGAGGTCTTTCAAACTTTCGTGCGACCGCATCTGGAGTTTGCTATCCAAGCATGGAGACCCTGGACCACTAAAGACTTCGGCATACTCGAAAAAGTTCAACGGCGAGCAACGAAACTTGTATCTGGGCAGTGAACACTACCCTACGAAACACGATTAGCTAATCTTACCCTCTGTCCTTAGAGTTACAGACAGCTACGTGGGGACCTGATACAAGCTTTCCGCATAGTGCGCAATCAGGGCTGCTGTCTCACATCAGGAGACTTCTTCGAGTTGGCGACTACGACTAACCTGAGAGGCCATCCACTCAAACTGAGTGTGACTGGTGCCCGGCTAGACACACGAAAGTTCGTCTTCTCCAACAGAGTGGTTGCAGCTTGGAATGCCTTGCCTGAGGATGTTGTTATGTCGGGATCCCCAGACACTTTTAAACGGAGGCTAGATCACCATAGGAGCGCGAACCACAATAACGGCGGTCTACCGCCACCTTGACAGCCAACATTGACAATTCAGTGTTGCGACGATGCTACTACCAACATTTAAGTAACATATATTTATGTAATTTAATAATTTGGACCACGTCGCACACCGCTGCTCGCATTCACCACGATGTATGTAGACAAAAAATTTTACTTCTTTTCCCGTATCTTAAGTGTGCTTTAACTGTCCGCTGTATTTGACCAACAAAGCAAGTTATGTGCCTCTAAATTCTGTTAACGCATGGAATTATGTGTTTATTTGTACAGCTTTTGATATTCCCCTCGCATTTCTTTCATGTTAATTCCTTTCCATTTCCTCCATGTATATACTCTGCATGTAACCAATAGGGATTTCAAAGGTACACACCTACTTTCCCTGAAATATACTGATACTGATTTTGTCAGTAACATACATAATTTACAGAATGCTGTTCTTGGAGTTGCGTGACTGAAACGTAGGAACTGTCAGTGGTGTTTGATAATGACAAAATGAAATTACTGCCATCCGCATTAGCGTAAGGTGTGCGCAAATCGTTGGTTTTATATAGCAGCTCTGTTCTGCCCAGCTAAGTGATATTTTTCAAGCACACATTCAGCTGGTCTTTGTCTAAATGTCTCTTTGGAGTCCGCCATTACCACTTTCCCAGGAGGCCATTGCTATGCTCTAGTCGTAACGCTTAATTGGTGTCCCGGTTTACAACTCGCGATAGTCGGATCCCCAAGAGAGAACTCAAAAGCAAGGGGTGGATAACACGCGTCTATTGCTGAGCTCCTATTAGTCATATCTGATGATAAAAACGCGGACACAGAATGTGCGAGGGCAGCCTGCAACTTTGCCAATCAGATCATAATAATAATTTTATTTAATGCCAGGTTACAGGCATTGTCAAGGGAAGCGTTAAACACAAAGCCGACCAGCAGTGAAAAAAAACTCCTGTGGAACAGGAATAAAAATATAGTTGATGGTGGTTTTTATGGTTTGGAGGGTTCAGGAGAAAAAACTGCTGACGGCAAACTTTTGACAGTCAAGAAGGGGGGATTGCACGGTATCGTTATCAGACGCCAATTCTTTTCATGAAGTTAGGGATAGTCAAAGTAGGGGCGTTGAAGAATAGCTGTCGCTGTTGGCTAACGAAGTTGTCCCTGGTGAGACCGGCCATAGTGTTCAGAGACTACAAACGCCATCGCTACTGTACAGTCGATCAGTGGATTCAGAACCCAAAATTTGAGGAAGCTTTTCTAAATGCAAAAATCGAGTAATAGTTCTCTTAAATAAGGGACAATTTTGCAGATTTTTTTATATTCCTGTGTAGTATATTCCAAATAGCAATTGCATTTACAGAAAAAACCGACAATATTTAACAGTACGTGTCAGATGAAGAAATAAGAAGACCTCACGGTGGCTGTTACGTCGGGGGTGGATATGATGTCTTAAAGAGGTGAGTGGAATAAATGTGTATTAAATAAGAGTTTAAATATAAAAATAGTCCTTTTTGTAATCTACGGAACCATAAAGGATCAAGGCCCGTAAGCCGGCAACGTTCTTGGTAAGACAAATGTCGGTGTTCCGGGGTTAAAACTCTCTTGGTAAAAAGGTGTTGAACGGATTCTATTTTCTTCCGCTCAGTAGCACGCATGAGGCTAAATAAAAACGAACAGTATTCCAGACCAGGTCTAACGTACATGTTGTAAAAGCGCATTCTAATGTCTCTAGTTTTAAAGTTTCGGAGGATAAACCCCGGTCGTTCTACGTGTTTTGTAGACTATCAGGGCGCAGTGCTCCGAGAGATTGAGACGCTTGCATTCTGATACGCCCAAATCCTTAATAATCCCAGGCACATTTACGGCGTGACCTTCAATACTTAGTTAAGGTTGGCGGTCGTCGCCAACCACCATGACTGCGCACTTATGCCAAGAAAGAGAAAGGCGCCATGTGCGGTACCACTGGGCGAAAGCCTGTAGATCGCTCTTAAGGAGCTAAAGCACGATGTCACGATCTGCCGGCTTATATCGATATGCAACTTTAAGATCGTCGCATACATGAACGGCTTACCATTCTGAAATAAATCGGGTACATCATTAACGAAAAGACAAAATAAAAGCGGGCCAAGTACACTACCCTGAATGACTCCATTCCTCACACATGGGGGGTTGGAGATAGTATTGAAAATATTAACTCGTTGTGTGCGAGTGCCCAAATAAGAGGATATGAAATTTAAAAGTTTGCCACCTATTCCGAAAGAGGACAGTTTCAGGAGAAGAAGAGCATTGTTAACACGATCAAAAGCCTTAGTAAAATCGAAATATACTGTGTAAAGTACAAAGCCACTGCCCCTAGATTAGAGAACATAGTCAAAGAAAGAAGGCTGGCAGGTGTCACAAGGCCGAGCTTTGAGGAATCCATGCTGAGCAGCTCTCAGTAGGTTATTCACTGTTAAGTGACACATCATCTTATCATTGATCAATGTCTCTAATATCTTCGAAACTGCGGGGAGGGTGTTTATTGGCCGAAAATCATCAAATGATTTAGATTTGCCGTGCTTAGGAATGGACAGAATGTGTGATTCCTTCCACAAGGTAGAATAGGTTTCACTTTCAAGAGCGAGATTAAATATCTTGCATAAGAGGGATAGGAAAATCGTATTTGCATCGGCTTTTAAAATGCTTACTGGGACACCATCAGGTCCTGGACTATAAGATTGACGAAAAAGCCGAATCGCAACAGTCACATCCCACAGAGCGAATGTGATAGTTTCTAGAACCGCCCCGGTCAGTGGCTGGATTGTCGGAAGCGGAGTGGTCGAGTCTTCAATGAACGTTTTGGACAGGAAATCATTGAAGCTATCAGCGGTTAACTGGGCATCAACTATGGGATTTCAGAGAGCGTCTCGGAGGATGGGATGCTGCGTCTTTCGGCGAGTTCGTATTTTTCTAGAGAAAAGTTTCGAGACATTTAACGAATGATTTTCGCTAAACTGGTCCTCTTCGGCTAGCTGTTTTTCTTCAGACAATCTCTTAGCTCGATTAAAAAATATCACGAATCAAGGGCAGGACAGAAACATCGTTCTGAAAATGGAGTCTACGATAAAGTCTGCGCAATCTGCGACGAAAGGGTAAGGGTAGGAAAACCTCATCCCCAACATAAATAATTTTCTTACGGGGGACAAAACGAGAAATAAGCGGATCCAAAATTACGTACAGTTTTGCAGTGCAAACATTTACATCCGAACTAAGGAAGAAATTAGTCCAGTCGTAGAAATTAAGGTGTGTTATTAATTCGGTTGAGCGAGTTGATCGGAAATCGCTACTGGCCTGTTAGCACGTGAACTTGTCTGCTGACTCATCTGAGTGGCTGGGCGCCACTCAAATCCTGCCGGTGGCTGGCTCGACCCTAACGTGCTCGCGCCGTGCTCGTATGTCGATAACATAGCATGTGCGCGCGCCGTTACAGCGGTAAGTGTACGAGTCAGTTAGAACGTCCTGTCGTCGCACTTCCCGCCTTTGAGTTTGGAGGTACGACTTGAGCCGCGGATTCACTTGCTGTGGAACAGGTTGTGTTGCTTTTCAGCTCGGTCGTCTGAGCAGTTGATGAGGCCACTCTGGAATCGGAACCGGGGACTCTTGCCTTGGTTTCGGCAGATCGAATGCGTTCAGTAATACGTCAGGTGTTCAATTTGGGTCTAGATTTGGTATGTCACTGCATTCGGTGTGCTTCAGATGACTGGCGTGGCGCACCCAAATGTCTTGTCCGCTCAGAATCTCATAGACAACATCACCGCACTTTCGGTGGACTCGCCTGAGCGTCCGCGTCACCTGCTTGTTCCTGTAGCCTTTAACCAGCATCTTCTCGCCCGGATGGAAAATCTTTGCCTTGCTCGGTGACGGCGGTTGAATTGCCTTTCCATCGAAGTCGTGCGGACTGTTTCATGACCAACATCCGGTTGCCCCCTATCAGATGGTGTCGGGCGAATGGCCTCAAATGGTGGGCGAAGCCTCCTCTGCGTGAGAGACTCTGCAGAAGAGACGCCGTTTGGGGAATTCACGTTTGATGTTGCCGGGTAGTTTGTCAAAAATATCTCGAGAACTTCTCCCGTAGTCCCCTATCCTCTTGACTTCTGAAGAGCTAGCTTGAACGGACCCCCATAACGCTCAGCCTGGCTGGTGGACTGCGGGCGAAATGGTAGCGAACGTATATAACTAATGCCCAACAGCTTGTAGAAGCGGTCGAAGGCGGCTGAAGTTAATTGTCCCGCATTATCGCTCACCAACATCTCGGGACAAAAAGTTTGCTGAACAATCGCCGAAAACTGTTGATTTTGGCGCCGGCTGTCATATTTGCCCTGGGGGAAACTTCCGGACATTTTTTGTATGTGTCAACGGCGATAAGGAAGTTTGGCCATTTATAGGTTCAGCATAATCGATGTGAACCCTCGACCACAGGGCTTTTGGGACAGGCCATGCTTTGAGTGTGTTCTCCGCTGACGTCTTTGATGCGAATGCACATTTGGTGCAGAAATAAGCTACCTGTTTCAGTTGTTGTTCCATGTGAAGCCAATACACATAGCTACGGGCAAGAACCTTTATACGCTCGATTCCCGCATGGCCAATATGAAACTTTCCGAGGACCCTTGTTTTCAGTTTCTGTAGCATTACGACAAGTTCGCAGAACAGGGGAAAATCAGCAACGGTGGACAATGAATGCTGTCGTTGACGGAACTGTTCTAGTTCTCCTGGAAGTTCTATGGCCACTGAGTGCGGTGGTACTTATTGACTTTCTTCAACAGTGGATGCTGTTACGTTGTTATTTAGACTTCCACAAAATTGACAGGAAGCGCATGAATGGACTCAGTCAATCAGTCAGTGTATCTGAGGAAAATAGGCTTACGCGTTTGAACTCCCTATTTGTACATAAAAATGATAAATAAGCAAAAATGTGAAGAAATTACAGCATTAATTGAATGCAGACACTGATTCACATAGGTCACTGGTCTCATGGCTAAAAAGTCACATAGTCCGCTTGTTGCTGTAGCATATGTCTGTCAGGCCGACATTTAAATGTCGCCACAGATTGAGACAAGACAACCGTCTCGGACAGGTTATTTCACGGTTCCACGACACGGTTAGATAAGAAATATTTTCTCACATTCAATCTATCCTGGGGCACACGTAGCTTGAAGGAATGTCCCCGGAGGTTAGTTGTTGTGGCGAGTTGGAAACAAGTCATCGCACCGAAGGACACAGTCCAAGCCACGCACGATACGGAAAGTTTGTATCAAGTCTCCGCGCAAATGCCTAGAACTCAGAGGATAGAGAGTAAGGTTAGTTAAACGAATCTCGTATGGCAGTGCACTTTGACCTCTTATTAATGTTGTTGCTCGCCTCTGCACTCTTTTGAGCTGATTGTAATCCTGCTGCGTCCACCGTCTCCAGACCTGAATCGCATATTCGAGATGCAGCCTTACAAACGTTCCGAAGACTTTAGAGAAGCATTCTTCAACGAAAACTGCGAATGCCCGCTTTATGGCATATAGCATTGAAGTTGCGGCTTTGGCCGCCTTACAACATTGTGTGAAAGGCTTTAGGCTGTCTGCAACACAGACTCCGAGATCCTTCTGCGTTTCTGCATCTCGAACTGGTATTCCGTTCAGATGGTATTGCCGCGAACTAGGGGTCTGATTGCCGAGGCGCAGTATGGTTCATTTGTTCAAATTGAAGGACGAGAGCCATCTACGAGACCACTCGTCCAATCGACAAAGATTTTCTTGGACGTTGGTCTCATCGGCAGCATTCTGGATGAGCTTCCAGATTTTTATGTCATCCGCAATCACAGCACTATCACAGACCAACCCATCTACACAATCATTGATGAACAAGAGAAAGAGGGTTGGTCCGAGCACCGAGCCTTGTGGGACTCCAGTCCCTGTGAATGTGCTCATTTATTGCTGTTTTTCTACGCAGACAATTTGGGAGCGGCCGAATAGGAAATTCTCGTTCCATTTGAGAAGTTGGCCGCCGATGCCCATTATTCTCAACGTGTGCAGTAGGCGCTGGTGCAGTACACTGTCGAACGCCTTCCGAAAATCAATATAGGCCACATGCACAATATGTTTTGCGTCCAGTGCTCTTGTCCAACTTTGCATTGTACCGGTCATCAACTCTACTAAGCACTTGTAAATATGAACCCTAATAGTGGACTGCATATGTCATGCGAAATACGTAGCAGTATTTGTCAGGCGCAAGAACCAACGTACAATTTCCATAGATCAAGAATACAAAAGTACGACGAAGATGTACATCTATGTTCAGAGTCTATTCAACAAACTGAAGAAAATCGAACTGACCGCGACCCATTCGCCACCTGACTAAATTACGCTAACTGAAAATGGTTCCACGGGCAGACATCAGACTCGGAAGTCACGTTGGACGGATCTCAGTCTATTCTCACATCTAAATGAAAGTAGGGGTGGGGGAACTCGATGTTCATTCGGGATGGCATTAACTATATCAGGTATGGATATTCAAAAAAATAAGCACGGGCTGCGAAATACTTAGCCATAAACTGAAAGTTCCAAACAAACCAAACCTCCACATTGCCGTCGTTTATAGACCTCAAGGACAGAAATAACTTCAATTGGTCACCGACGAATTCTTTCGTCAACGCCTTGCGATGGACATGGTAATCCGAAATGGACAGCAATAGCGCAGTTTGGACTTCATCATTACAAGAGGTGACAGGTATATCCTTCGACTGATTTCTAGCACGCTCCTGGGCCGAAATGACGACTGCGCCCTTGATCGAATGTAAAGCTGTTTTTCTGTACCTGAAAATCGAATAGTAAAGGAGGGGAATATATGGAAGGATGCTACTCCAAAATTCGAATTTGGTTTGAAATTTTCGACTTCGGGGGAAGTTAATTTTACCCGGATATCTATCTACTGAACGTCCTCACGGATCGTGGGTATTAGAAATCTGATTCGCCTTTATGACAGATCCATCTTTGCAGACCTACACCAGGACTTGTGCGGGATAACCTATCTTCGTCCAATCTCCTCTCTGCAACAGCACTGAGAAATCCCCAAAACCTACGAAAGTCTGAGTCGTTTATCTGGTTGAAAATTAGTTTCATTCCTTTAAGAAAACCGTTTGAAACTTGTATACTCAGTGATTTTATTCGGAGGAATGCCCACAGAACAAAATGTTAAATGTCCGCCTCAGGCCGGAGGCGAACCCGGGCAATTGCCCAGTCAGAAGCCCGGCATTACCACTAGGCCAGCGACTCCCGCCAGCCTAGTCAAAACAAGTGATTGATCATGTATTACACATTATATTAATGAGTGCCGTGTTGGATGTTTTGCTATGAGACAAATGCTCCTCAAAGGGGCAAAAGTCTAGTGACGTTGGGGTATGTCACATACGACGATACGGGTTTTGAGGTCGATGTCGCGTACACCAATTTCCGCAAAGCACTCGACACTGTCCCGCACCAACACCTTTTTCACAAATTGAGCGCCATCGGTATCCGGAGGAGATCTTCTGAACTGGATAAGGGCGTTTCTGGTTGGTCGGAAACAATGTGTCTGTCTCGGAGATGATATGTCAGACCGGGTGAACGTGACTGGTGCTGTGCCTCAAGGCCCAGTTCTCGGCGGCTTCTTTTCATCCTCTATGCTAGTGACAGACTTCAAGAACACGACTGCGGCAGAGTAATGTTCGCCGACGACGTTACGCTCTGGCAAGTCATTAAGGGTCCGAATTATCTGAGATCCCTTCTAAATAATCTGCACCGACTGCAAGCGTGGTTGGAGAAATGGATTCTATATTTCAATGTGGAGAAGTGTGCCGTCCTTCATCTGCGCCCAACCAACTCTCATTCAAATGAGAGCCTGAGGACACATTACCCCAAAGACATTACACTTCCCGCAGAATCTTCACAGAAGGATCTCGGGGTTTGGATACAGAACAATCTGAAACCAACACTGCAGTGCAGCAAGGCTGCGAGCAACGCCATTGGAGTGCTGCATGCAATCAAAAGTCCGTTCGTAACCTTTGACAAAGACCATTTTAGGAGAGGTTACGGCACCTTTGTTCGGCCCCACTTTGAATATGGCATACAGGTGTGGCGGCCATGGCTAGAAAAGGACCAAACATGCCTTGAAAGAGTACAATGTCGTGCAACGAAGTTGGTGAACGGTTTAAAAAACCAATCATACAGAGAAAGACTGAATTGTCTTAATTTATTCCCCCTGTGTTACAGGCAGCAAAGAGGTAATCTTATCCTCGTCCACAAGATAATACATGGCCTTGAGCATGGACTTAGCTTTGAGGACATGTTTCAGTGGCACCTTCCACCCAATCTTCGTGGTCACTGGACGAATCTACGGTCAAAAATATCCAGGCTGAATCATCGTTCTGATTTTTTCACGCAGAGGGTAGTCGAGAAATGGAACGATCTCCCCCAGTCAGTCGTGGAGACGACGTCTCTGCAACTCTTCAAGAAACGCTTGGATGATTATTTGTGTCCCATGTTTTCTCTTGACAGTCTGAACCTGATCTAAATACCATCCGATCCCCGGATTTTTTTGATCTCAAACAACGCCACTCAAATGAATCAAGTGCTGTTGTAATAGCGAATATTTTCATTGTTCGTGTACAGTTGTATCTAACGAGCTCAGATGTAATCAATAGGGTTTTCAAAGGTTTTCCTATTGTCCTTTCCAAATAAACAGAATAAACTGAGCTGGTTGGATGATTTCCATTTCATTTGCAACATGTTTTGTGGATTAGATTAGTTAAGCTTAATAAGTAAGGCCAGTATTTCTGATTGGAACACAGTGCATCCTTCTAATTTAAAAACTTTGGTGATGAGCTCTCGACGTCCATCACAGCGTGTTAACTTTCAGTGGTTCAGTTCCTTCGTGGTCGATATCTGTGGCATACAGCGTCCTTCAGTTTTTATGTTCCGTGGTTCGTAGCAAACCCATTGATCTGCGTCTTCGGTGCCCTTATGTTTCCAGGATTCTTTCTGGAGGGCATCTCTTCAATTTTCTACCACTAAAGGTTTGTAGCAGCCGTTCCACCCCCTTTTCTCCGGCTCCCTTTTGTCGATCGATACCTACGACGTAGATAAGCGTTCGTTCACGGAGAGCATCAGTCGCGGTGGCTGTTTTAGCGGGAATGCATGTCTGTGTTATCCGGAGAGGGTGACCGTCTGAGTGCTGGTCGTGTGATTGGACAGATTATGGTAGGGATAGGGGGCGCATACTTACAAGGTCTGACGGGTATCCAGCCAGAGCGTTTGACGCGCGTGAGGTGATGAAAGTTTGTCAGGGCAACCAAGAGTCACTGCAGTTGGACCGGAGGTGCCCCAGGTCTAGCCGGCGGGGGTTGCAGTGTGTCGACTGTTGTTGCGGCCATCGATCCACAAAACGGAGCCGGTGAAAAGGGGGACTGGAAAGGCTGCTGTAGGTCTCAGTGGGGGCATTTTCAAATTTTCTTCTATTGATTGTCCGAACGAAATGACTGATATGAATTTTGGATATTTTTGCTGGGCAATACGGTATGTGCACTTTCCTACCGCGAAAAGTGACACAAAACGAGCTGAAGTCCCTTTACGTAGTCCTTACAAAACGCTATCCCTAACTTTAATGCATAACTTAACCCCATCCCTAATCTTCACAGCAGCTCCAAGTTAGAAGTTCGAAATCCTTGTGAAATTGTCGGTTTGAAATCACAACAGCTAGCACCATTGAAGTGAGCCAAGAATATCATAAAACCTCTCGTGGAGAAAAGCAAACCAATCACCAAACAGGTTTTGGTGACCAATAGGATACGCGTGGGCACCGACGACCCTACAAGATCCCACGCGCGATTAGGACAGGCTGTTCATCCTATCTTTATCAAATAGAAAAGATAGGTCCCCACCGTTACCTCCAATATATACGATCGTTTAACCGACACCGTTCTTCCACTGTGTAATTCCATCTTTCTACTAATGACCAACTTTGCAATGACTACCAAATTCTTTTCATTGCTTTGACCGGACAGTCTTTTGTTTGGTTCTCTAATTGACGAAATGAATACAGAACGCATAGAATGAAGGCCAGGTTGAAGGTTGCGGATGACGGGCTTTAGAAGACCGAAATGGACTTGGGGCTCTCTGTCCACGTCCCAGTTTGAGGTGCAGAGTACGCCGACGAAGGAGAGGGTACAAAAGGGACCAGACCACCGGTGCAACTTGACTCCTATGCCTATTAAGAGACAGGCATTGTTGGACCACACGTAACTGCCTGGTTCGTATATGGTGCAGTGTGACAGGTGCCCCTGATAGCTCTGCCAATGGAAACTGGCAGGCAAGCCAAACTGCTCTCGGCTGTTAGTAAGAGGGTGAGAGCAGACCCGATGCGAAGAATGATTCCCGACTCCCCCACTCGCCTAAGAATGTGGCCGTTGTTGAGGTCGACCACTTCTATTTGGGCCGCATTCATAAAAGCGAAGTGACCCCCGATCTGCGTTTGACTTGGGCGATTGATTCGTCCAACTTCGTCAACTGTCGTACCCCAGATGTAAAGGGAAAGACTTCCTTCAGCACTAGCGATCTTTCTTTCTGCAGAAATCTTGTCGTTCGTTTTTCGTCTGGATGTGCTATTTGCTTCAGTCCGTAGGTTCCGGCTGCCGGGATTAAAACGTGTTTCCTTTAATCGGCCACCTGTCATCCAGCAATAGCATTTTTACAGCCCTTTGGACCTCCAGCCTCAAGAAAGCTATTCGTAACACCTATCCAATTTTGGTTACATTCGCTCCTGTTTCCCATTAGCTTGTCCTCGAAGCCATTTTGACTATCAGAGATGAGTCCCTGTTAGTAAACCAAGGTACTTGGAACAGCGACAAAGGTATGCCCGGGGGCATGCCGTCTGTTTCAAGACCCATTGTTGACTCGCAGTTCGAGGGTCATAGCAGTTTTAGGAATGTGACCCCAACAGAGACGATCGATTTCACCAATCGCCTCAATTTTGGGCGAAAGGATGGACCGGAAACCATTTTTCTCATCGGCTTTTGGAGATCTGTTCTCATCCTTTTAATAACGGCCTATAGGGTAGTTTGGCTTACCTACCAGTTCCCGTCAGAAGAGCCGCCACGGTGCCTGCTACAATGCAGTCAGTACGAACCATACGGACACATGTGGTCGCACAATGCTCATCCCTCAATAGGCATGACGATCAAGTTCCGCCAACCGTCTGGCCTCTTTAATGTCCTCTGTTTTTTATTTTATCTAACTTGGCATTCCGAATCCTTTACTGGAAACTATATCCCGGGGCAGGAAGCCACTGATCCATTCCGGTCGCCTAGAGCTAGTCAACTGTAACCACCAATCCAGCCATCACCCCATAATTTACACCCATCTGTTCAGACAACTGTGAAATCCTAGCACTGGTTCGATGCGATATTCAATATCAAGAGCATTACTTCTTTATTTATTCCTGAGTCACCATTCTTTCGTTCGTCTTCGGGATACGTCGCATCAGCAGCCCTATTCTTGATTCTCATAACCGACTTCTTTTAGGTCTCTACTCTATTCGGATTATGGTGGTCGACAGAAAAGATCAGAGTTCCGGTGCTGTTGCTCAGTCATCTGATTCTGAGCCACTGTTTGAGAATCCATCCGCGGTTTCGCAAAGAAGCAGAAGACAAGACCGCATCACTGTGGCCATCCTTTTCTGTGTAAATTTGCTTAACTACATGGATAGGTTTACCATCGCAGGTAAAGTTAATCTGACGACACTAACCTTCTCAGGGATACCCAATATGATTAGGGACTACTATGGCATTGACAGTAAACTCCTTGGGCTTCTTCAAACATCTTTCGTTGTCTCATACATGTCCCTGAGTCCTGTGTTCGGTTACTTCGGTGATCGGTGGAAAAGGAAGTATTTGATTGTGACTGGACTTGTCCTCTGGTCCTTTGTTACGCTGGCGAGTTCGTTCGTTCCTCCCGATGTAGGCAACTCCCTTATTTTTGTGTACATTTTTTGAAGCGTTTTTGGACTTTTTTGGTTCTTCGCTGTCTTGTGGGCGTGGGTGAAGCAAGTTACTCTACGTTAGCCCCAACCCTGCTAACCGATCTCTTCGCTGAGGACTCCAGGACTCAGGTGCTAGGATTCTTCTATTTTGCTGTCCCTGTGGGGAGGTCAGTTTATGTTACGATTTTCCTTTTACATGCAAACATGTTCTCTTTGCGCTCCAGAAGCCCTAAGCCAGTAGTTTTATCGTTGAATTCGATTTTATCTTCTGCGAAAAGTTTGGGCCATGATATCTCGAATTAGCTGTGTTGCAAAGCTTCGATTTTTGAAATCCTGTCTGAGCTTTAAAAGAAATGAAAATTGACTCAGTGCCTTTAGTATGAGTAGATGTTCCTCACAAAGTATCCTCGTACGCAAACTTAGTTCCATCACCTGACTTCTTCACTTTGTCGACGCATCGGTCGTACCTAGCCAATTTTCTATGCCTAAAGTCTATATAAACCTTTGGTTTTATTCGGGACTACCTCAGGGAAATGCGTCTGTTAAACACGTGCTCGGCCTAGTTAAAGACTTAATCATTGTCTCGAACGGGTGTAAGGGGAAATTAAGCACCCATTTTACTCTGAGATATACAAGTATTTCACGGCCGCTACTGGTTATTAAAGACGGATTCCAAATTGTCACATTTCTGGCTTTGCTTGGCTTTAACGTCTCTTTATGCAAATCTTTCGCTTCCTCGCTTATTTTCCCTCTTATGTTTTTCCATATCCATAGTGGCCTGGGTTTTGTCATGGGCTCCTGCATCGCAGAATCCCTTAACAACTGGGCTTGGGCCCTCCGCATTACCCCAGCTCTAGGCCTCCTCTGCATTTTGAGCCTTCTGTTCTTCCACCAGGATCCGCCTCGAGGTCGCGCTGATGGCGCTGCACATCTGCACGCAACTTCTTGGTGGGCAGACATAAAAACCCTCCTCATGAATCGGTGTTACTTACTAGTATCCTTTGGTTTCACAGGGACCTGCTTTGTACTGGGTGCTCTGTCCTGGTTTGCTGTTGATTTCATTCAGGCAGCAATCAATGCCCGAGCAAACAACCCCAAGGAGGCTGATAAGTACAAGTGAGATCATCACCATTTTCAAACGTTTGCTGAGTTGTACGATGTGCCACTTGTCTTGCCTGCCAGTAATTCAGTTTAACATTCCTCATATCTTCTCGCATACTCGTACTTATAATCAAACAACCTTGATCTTTTGTAGTGAAAATGATATTACAATGGTTTCTGTCACCATTGTTGATTAGGCTGTCTGCCAGGGAGGCCGAGGCCGTCAATGGAACCTGCTTGTTTAGTTAGACCACTAACCCACAGTCAGCCGTAAGGGGTCAGTCAGATGGACAGCAGAGAAGCGTGTTCATGCACCGTCTTTGGTTTGGAGCAGGTGACTTACCACCAATTGTAGCCGACGGTGGGAATGACCATGACATGTCCAGTGACCAGACCAACACATGAAATCCTTGTGCATCAGATCACTTGTGGCCGTTTGCACCTGCAGCACCGGTACGAGAGTTTGGGCCAGTAATACCCATGGCAGCGATTCGTACGCAAGAAGTGACACTTGTCTTCGTTATTCAAGGCTGACGTTGCTGCCTCATATTAGAACGTAGTTTTAATGAAGGAATCGTTTTACCGACGACCCGTGTCTAGGTGGGGATTTTGACATCCCCTTCCCCAGACTTACGCTTCTCTCTTGTCTAATAATCGAAGTCGATTATAGGAAATCACGCGTATAGTCTTTGTAAGCTACGTTCCTCTTGTGGCTTGTTGACCTGTTTGCCGAGACTGATTGTGGTTGAATATAGAGACTGAACTCTGGCGGAACAGTTTGAAGAGCGGATAATTTGTACATCTCATATGCTTGGGGCTTACTACACCAATCTTCCTCAGCAGAAACACACGGCCCGCAAATATACTTTTATCTCTCTACCGTCTGTATTTTAGTGTCGCCCTTCTTTTTGGAATTTGCACATGTTTTGCCGGTCTGCTGGGAGTGGTTTTGGGCTCCTTTCTCGGTCGAAAATTGCGGGTTTTTACGTCGGTCGCTGAACCTTACGTCTGTGGTGGCGGCTTGTTGCTAAGTGCGCCATTTGTGTACGCCAGTTTACTGTCTCCGTATTTCAACTTCTACCTTTGCATGGTACGTTTCTGTTGACACGTTTTATCTGCAATAATTTTCTCTAACCAGCATGCTTCATCACCACCATTAACGTCACCCAGCCATCGTTGTAGTCATAGTATATTTAGAGAGGAACGAGTAGGATAAGTCCCACTTGGTAGTTTCAGAGGAGATAAGTTTTCTGGGACGTCAGCTTTGTCCTTCTTACGTTCCGAACCCTATTGCAAATTGACTTTCGAAGAAAAATGTGGATATAAATGACGCCTTTGGAGTACTATCCCACTGGAATCACCTTGCCATGATCGTATCATGCTCGTTTTCGCTTCTTGAGACTAGAAACTGGGAAGCTTAAATCTGAGAAGTGTAACCAGCAAAGGTAGGGAGGCTGTAATGACCGTTTTGGACTTTCGTCATCAGCCAACTCCATCCGAACTCCAGACGGACGTCTGAGATTCGAGCCAGAGTCAGTTATTTATCGAGCAACACTGTCAAGTAAATATGACGTAGGCGCACAGCATACTGGCGAAAAGGCTGAGTGATGATCAATTGACTTGGATCAAAACCTTGGATGCACCAACGCCTGAGTTTGGGGTGTTACCGGCCACATACAATGTAAATAACCATTCCAGTGTCCCTTTTATCATAAGTAACACTTTTGGTCATTGTTTGCTAACCGTCGTGGGACTGCCTGCGTAAGCTGTAGACCCTCTGCACCAAGGTAAAACGAGAATGCTTCTTCCATCCTTCAACTTAGGCGAGTTCGTTAACACCACTTATATTAGGGATTTGTATCTTCCTAGGACGGAAGACCAGAAGCCGATCAACTTACAGCTTGCTTGATCCTCCCCACCATTTTCTTTAGTCGTTACGAAATGAAATCGCCGACTAGCGTAACCAGAGGCTATCCTGCGGGTGTTTGTTTAAGTAGCCTATAGAGTGTTTTGAGATGGAGTAAGGGGGTTTCGGGAGAGATCTCTAGAATTGGAGCATCATCTTCCTCATATTTGCGTTCCACGGCGGATTAAATTACTTCTGTTTTTTCGATCCTGCGGCTGGGCTTGAGGCAGGACACAATGTCAAACATAGCCAGGATCTCACTCGGCTTCGGTCAGGCTTCCAAAACTTTCTGGATTACTAAGCCGCGGTAGAATCCAACTTTTGGCACATTAATTGCATTACTCTTCCAATCCACCGGTGAATAATTCAGTAGAGGCGCCTATGTTAAGGCGCTATTTTGTTTTCGCTCATGGCCACTAACCTCTCAGCCGTTATTGCCGTATTGCTGATTGTATTTCTAATACTGACTCGATGGTTTTGGCCACAGCTGCGCGAGTCGGCTCCGCTCCCCACAGGTGTTCGTCTCTCGGTCCTTGGCTGTTTCATTAGGCGCAACTAAAAAAAGCTTCCACAGACCCGCAAAGGCCAGCATGTAGTCTCTCAGGTGCCACAACTCGTCTACTCAAGTGACTTGGAGTCGGGAAGGAGGAAAACGAGCGTTGATTAAACACCATTAGATAGAATAGCAGGGCTGAGTGCCTTTGGTGAACCGTCGAAGTTAGTCTGCTAAATCTGATGCATTTGCAAGCAACGGAACATAACTTGCGTGGTCGGGACTTGGGATGTAAATTCATATAGCATTCATAACAGACTGCAATCAGAGGGCGTTTTAAAGTTTTAAAATAGACATTACACACTGTAAGCCATAAATTCGGTTGATAAACCACCTGGTCCGGAACAAACAACATTGGTCAGCCTCCTCGGGATCACTCTACTAACAATTTTCCCCGCAATTAGCGTTTACTAGTCAGTTTTTTGCAAAAGTGGCCTAGTTTTGTTGCGGAACATAAATACCATCCTTGAATGGCGTTGGAAATTGTACATAAAGCAGTTAGAGGAAATCACAAAATTATAATTTGGACCAGATTAGTGTCCGCATAACCCTCTTTTTCATTTTAGTTTTTTGTCTTTATCGGACAGCTTCTCATCTGTCTGAACTGGGCTTTGGTAGCAGATATGACAATGGTGAGCAGATTTTTCCGTTTTCCTCAACTTTTTGGACATATTCAAACCTATATGTAACTATTACTTGCTTTTCACGTTATAAAACGACAAGAAGCAGCTGAAGGGCCGTCGCGGTACTTGTAGGTGGGAGTACATTCACTTGTGCTGGCCTGTTTTTCTGCCTAACTTTGGCGTTGTATTGAGCATCTAAGCCTGCGAGCATTCTGGTTAATCGATTCACTTTGAACCACCAAAATGCGAGGATCAAGTGTCGTTTAAAAGAAAAAGGAGAGAGGAAGAGAAGAAATCCTCTAACGTCCTTGCTTTGCACAGAACTCGCGTATGTTAGACGAGCGCGGGTGTGTTATCATGTGATCGCGGGTGTACAGAACAACTTTGACCGCTGGAATCGTGTGTGTGGACGACTGCCATTAGCCGACAGGTTTAGTGACTGCATGACTGCATCCGTGTGAGCCGTTAATTGTCAGTAGCGCCACCTGCGCGGCGTGGATTGGCAGTCCACAAATTATAAAGACCAACACAGTAGTGCAGCGCATACTTCCTGAGGCTGCAGCAGTCCCGTTCTCCACCAAAGGGCCCCCTGAGCAGCGGAAGGTTTTCCAAGGCCATCCCTCAGTGATGCCTGGAGATGTATCCTTGTGAATCAGCCAAAAAGCCCACTGCCACTGTTGCTACTACCTCTAGTGTCCTATTGCATCCTGGTTTCCTTCGTAATTTAATATAACATGAAAACAGATCTTCTACATGGACATCTAAGATGACTTCATCTCGCCATAGTCGTATTTGAATCTTTTATTGAATGCAGTAAATCCAGTAATATCGACATTTGTGCCGCGCCGCCTGGTGATTAGGACGTGTGCGCCCACGGTATATTAGAAAGCCTGGAATTGATGGAGCTTTTAGGGGAGGCGTTAATTTCCTTGGTGTCGAGATCCGTTTTTGCGTCAGCGCGTTTCGCGTGAGTGGACTTTGACACGTGCGCATTGGTTTTTAGGGGCATAGTTAGATTAAATTGCATCCGCGGCTTCGACATGAAAATAGTGCCTCTAACGTTTTTTGCACTTATTCCTTCGAAGTTGTTTTTGACCGTAAGGCCTCCTTGCGCTAACATTTTTCCGATCACCCTATGCGGTCATCGTATAGAATACATTAAACTTAAAAGCTCTTCTCTACTCCACGTTCTTTGCCTAGGACACCCTCTGTGTATATTGTCACACAAAGTGCGTAACTTTGTCCGGGTAGCCTGCCGTTTTTGACTTAAAACTAGTCGCCAGGACCCGTTTTTGCTCTGTCTGGCGTTCATCACTATATGCTTCCAACGTCTCACTCTATGCCAGCCAGTATAATTGTTCCAGACCATGGAGTGGTTCAGTGAACCCGCTGCTTCGATGCAGTTTGACGGTAGAGCCGTCCACCACTGCGGTCACTGACCAAAGCACTTTTATAACCCCAACTTGTCCCACACATTCTGTCTGGCTCAGGTTAGTCAAACGAGGGTAGATGACTTCGTCAACCGATCACTGATTTTGCCCACATAATATCTGCACAAGAACCTGAGCACATCTTTTACCCTTTATTTTAGTCTGTTGTGATTCCGACGCGAAGGGCCACTGCCAGCGCCCTTCAGATGGTCCTGTCACACAGCCTCGGCGATGCAATCAGCCCGTTAATAATTGGCACTGTAAGTTGGTGAGGGCTTAATGCCTTTGTCGAGGTCGCACTGTTTTTCCAGCTGTTCCCTACTTCCCAGATGGTAAAGGTCCTTTCTACTCGCAACTCTGAGTGTCAGCATATAGACTTCTCCAGCACTATCAGTGACTGACGTGCCTCAAGTGTGGGTCTTACGGTCTACAAGCTGACTTGTACATGGTACGGCTGTGATCATGCCCAATCTAGTCGGCCTCAATGATGTCACCTATCGTACTTCTCCACGCGTGACGATCCGCGACAGCGGATTTGGGCTGATCGACCCATTCTGTTCTCCGTCGACGGGGGCCAAACACCGGACATCCTAGAACCACTCCCATGTCTTAACGAACTGTGTCAATTCAGATGAGCATTTGGCGAGCATACGTTTGCTTTCGATATGTTCGCATTGGGCCAGTACGCATATATGAGATCAAGGTACAAAGTAAAACGTTTGAGCGATAAGAGGAATCGATTATGGTTTGTCTTTTCTGTAAGATGTGGTTTGGTAGCCCCACCTGGTGGACACAATGCTGTTGGGGTTGGGGGTTATGGTTAGGAGTTAGGGTCAGCTGTTAGGGTTTAGGATTAGTGTTTAGCGCAACTATTTCTCAGCCATTCAAAGTACCACCGTAAATTCCAAATAGCTGTTCTTTTGCATACAACTACTTGACCTCGTTGCCTGTGCGTTCCTCGGCCCCACCTGTAAAAACCCCTATTGCCACCGGTCCCGTATTAGAGGTGACTGGGGTTTGTTTACTTCAGGTGGGGCTACATAGCCACATCTTACCGTCTTCTCATACAAGCGCGGTGTGTGAATAGGATGGGGGGGGGGGGAGGATTACGTAGAGTCGGGCCACAAGGGGAGGGGAGGGAGACATGCATACAGTCAATCGATCCTTGCCCACGGTAGACGCGGAGCGTGCATGAGGTTCTTCTGCGCGCACAGGACCGGCCTCTGTAGCCCGATGGCAGTCGCTTCTGCTGTCGCTAGTAAGCGCTTACCCAGTCGCTTAGGATAGTTAGGTAGGCTCCACACGATACCCAGAATCAACCATGTGTGCGAGGATGGAGCTGTTTATGCCCTGAACTTCACCTTTCCTCAGCCATGCCGGCAGGCGTTCTCGTATTCTTGTGGATAGGCGCCGACTCGTACGACCAATATGGTCTGCCCCACAGGAGCAAGTAGAGGACAAAATGCACATGGATGTGTTCTGAGCTGGTAGCCTACCCTTATCATCCCCGCGTAAGACGGGCTTGGTCGAGAACAATACATGAACTCCTGTTGCCGGGTGGGCCGCTGGGATACAGGACGAACTGGGAGTTGGCTACAGGGATCTTTATTCTCCTAGTTCCTAAGTCGGCGATTCGGACTCTAGGTAGGCAGCATACATCCACGCTGTATCGTTGCAGAGCGCATCAGTTCCGCGGACGCCGCAGCATTGATTGTAATACAGTAATCGAACATTTTCATTACGTTTATCGGGGATTTGGAATACCGGCGGGTCCTCTACAGCCGCTCGAATGGTTTGTTAGGGGTTGTCTCTTCTAACGCTTTGGTACAGTAACCAACTACAAGGCAGCGTTGCAAGTCAGCCCATTTAATTTCGGTCGCGGTCGCCATGTCACACTGCCGTCATCGAGCTTTTCAACACTTGATAAGGCCGTCGGTGTACCAAATCTTAGCCCTCCGTCCCCTGATGGCAATGTCTTTGCTGGTCCGCGACTGCTTATTCGCCAGACCCGAGACTCGCTTATTTCGCAGCTAACCTTCGCTGAGGACCGCTCCACGATCCGCCACCTGTGGACGCCCCAAGTATATAGTAGCTGGGATAACTAGTAAAAGAAGCTGACTAGATCCGAAATACGCGCTTTATGAAAGCTGAAGGTATGTCCGTCCTATGCGATGGGTGTATGATAATCCGAAAGCTCCACTTTAGTCTCTATGGCGTTCGTACGGGTAAGCCTTCAGTTTTAATTCAGTTCGCTCTCACTCGGATGGGATTTGTGGACAACTGCAGAGATTTCGATAAGCGACAGCCTATCGCTCAGCTGAATCACATGCTAGCTAGGTCCAGCCTGTGGCCTATAGCTTACACTCACACGAAGTGTCTGTAGTAGTCCAGAGCCCCCCACCCCCCTGGTGACCTTTTTATGTAGCGATTAGCTGTCAAAACTTCGAGCTGTCATTATTTTGGTCGTTGCAAATTCGTTTGCCGCTTGCTTGTTTGGCCTTTGCCTTGAAACGGTCATGAGAGGTAGTAATTTAGCCTTTCGTACTGTCTTGTGAACTACAGTGCGTTCCAACCCATCGGAGGTTCGTGGGGACATTTGTGTGTTGTTGTACTGAGGGATAATTATTTCTCTAGAGTACAGCATTCACCTGGTGCTAGTGCCTTTTCCAAGCGCCGTGGGCTTGGAAATGGGACCTAGGCAGATCTCGCACAAACGTCGGTCACGCGTTAGATGAAGGCTTTCGCCGCGTCAGTCATTACTCAACCGATCTCATAACCTCCAATTGGCTTGTCCCAGACATGCCGCTGACGGGTGATGTAAAATCCGCCTCCTAGGTGACGTTTAACGCCTATCCAGCATTTAGTTTCCTTACCATGATAAATCTGATGCGTTTTCAAACTACTACGACGCGCAAAAAGTCGACAATCTGAAGGTTACAATTGGTACGACTGTGATCATGCCGGATTTAACCGGTATCGTTACCATTCACCTTGGAACATGATACGCATATTTTATAGTTCAAACTGTCTTTAGACATCCATTTCGAACAGACAAAACCAGTGTATTATCTCAGCGGCGTCGACCTTCCCGAGCTTTTAGGCCTCTGTTAGTTTCAGTGAGCATTCCGCAGGGCCGTCGTCCCACATTCCTTCGGAGATTGCAAGTGCTTCAAGTTAGCCTCCCTCAACCTCACCGGTACTGAAAACCGAGTTTTTCCTTCGACAGAAGCCATCCCCAAAATGCACTTTTTCCGTTTTTTCCTTTAGAACCCTTAAAAGGTGAGTCATTGCAATGGTTCGTAGTTTATTTGGTCTTTTTTGTTAATATCAGCCTGAGAATCACCCGGTGGGATGGTTACTGGCTTTCCGAAAGTGCTTCCCGACTTTACTTCTGCCGGTTTTCCACTTAGAGCGAAGTAGTTTTCATAACACCAAGGCTTTGCCTCTACTCAGCTTTTCGTAGTGGTGGCTTCTGATAACCACTCATCAGCCGTCCCTCCCTCTTTCACGGAGACGAGCCCTGCGTGTACCAGTTAATTCCGTTAGTTTTGTTCTGTACTCACCATGAGTGTTGATTAGACGACTAAAATGGCCTTTTCGCGGCCCTTTTCCGCCTATTTGTGCACTGATCCATGTGTGCTGGTCCTGCCCTTCAGATCGCGGATGCCCAGGCACATTCGGATTCGCTGGAGTGGCACTACTTGGGCATGCAGAGATCCCTCTTTCTGACAGTGTTTGTCTGCGTCGTTGCTGGTTTTCTACTCCTGTTGTCTTCTTGGTATCTGGAGGCGGCCAAAGAACGCGTCCACTTCATAATTGAAGGTAAGTCATCACGTTCGCTCGGTCGCTGAAATTGGCCACAAACCGTATTTTGCAGATGACATGGCGTCCAGCGACTTGAACTGCATGGGGTTTGCTCTGCCTCTGTCTTGTCGCCACATTGCATGGCAGCGGCTACTTAAGTTCTCTCGTCCAATGGCTCACTTCTCGCGTCTAGAATCCCACCGTGCTCGCATTGTCGCTTACTTCTGTCATGTAATGCCTGCGAGTGAGGGCGATGTCATTGCCGTCAGCCAGAAAAGAGACCTTTCTTTTGCCGTTGATCCTGCGCCTGTCCGGCTAGGCCATGACCAGACACTGCTTGGGTGGGGGAGGGCCTGACTGAGGAGTACTTTCCCGCACTGCACGGAGTCGAAGAGGGACGCTTCTACTCTCTCCACCGATTTCAGGGGTGTGCAGGATGATGGACAAAGTGTTGGCTGATAAAAGAAAACGTTCTGAATGTCGTAACACTGCTATGGCTTGGAAGAATCTCATGGATAACTGATTTGCCAAATTAGCACCTAGCCTCTGACAGTAGTGCCGCTGCATGTTCTATGCCTGACTATTCATAAAGTTCGTGAGCCTACTTCTTTTACAGTTTGCTTTCACTAAAAAACTGTTCACTACACAGCAACTGTGGACCCGCTGGTTACTTTGCAGCTAGGCTGAAACACAGGCCCCGGTCTTCCTGGGACTCCTGGTTCAGGTGTAGTCACGTTGACTTGCGTGTGAACTAGTCTATAGTGAGAGTAGACTTGCGCAGCACCTACTGCATTCACTCCTTCCCACCCGGACTCTGTGTCAAGGCAAAGTCAAGAAGACCGGAGGTGGGTGGTGCGGCCGAACCCGCGCCTTGGCGCTCCATCCCACACTCCCCGACCCACAAAAAACACTGAACCAGGATTTTTGACAACAACAACAACAAAAAAGACGCGGATGACTGGGCAGCTATGCAGAAGACCAGTATATCGAGCGCGAGTGCGAGCGCATATGTCGACAGGTATCGGAGAACTGCCGGCGCACTCCAGGCTGAGAGGGCCATCGTTTGCTGGTCATGGCATTGCAGACTCCCACAAACCGCCCAGAAGGGTGACACACAACCCCGCATTTGGCTGGGCCATCACCCTTCAAAGGCTGGGTAACCAGTCAGTCAGCGACTGAAAGGCTCTACCCATTAAGTAAGATAAAAGTCACTTTGAGTAGGAGCCGCGACAGCCTTGCTCTCAGCCCATCAGTCCGCCACTCCACGCAAACACAAAACAGGGCAGATTGCGAAGACTAGGTTGAGGCGTCTGTTGGCAACCTTTCAAGCTACGGCGCCGGACGTGGAGGAAGTAGCGTGGTCGACAAGGCAGATTCCCAGATCAGAAGCCAGGTAAGACGGGTTGTATTGGACAACCTTTACTGCTGGGAGTGCGTACACAAAATTCTGCGAGCAGTCGCCGCGAGCGCGCTCACCAAGCAAACTGTTGTTTCTGTCCGCCTTCGAGGTGCTCAGACCCAGTGCGTGTGTCCTCCTTTCGTTGTCTCAGTGTCCGCCAGCCACTCAGAGGAGGGGCAACGTTGATTGGTTTCGAGCACTCGCGAGGCTAGTGACAAGCCTCGCGCGTCCGAAAAGGGGATCGACAAGGAGTGTGCGGCGGACAGGAAGACAGCGTGACAAAGGCGGAGGGCAAGGAGACGCAAACTGCAACAGGCGCACTATCGTAGTCTCAGACACGGATCACGCATGCAGCAGAGGGGCCGCCTAGAGACGGAGCCGAGAAGCACACTTCCTACTTACGTGAGATGTGGCAGTCAAGTGCTTGCAATGGTGATATTGTTGTGTAATGCGGTTGGCGGGGGATGTATGATGTAGGCAGTTGTCAACCGTAGGTTTTCGTGGACGCGTATGTGACCTAATAAGCCCATGCGACAGTGTGATCGCCGGTGACGGGGATGGCGCGGGATTTGTGGCAGGGGCGAGAGTGGGGGAAGACGTAGACGTTGTCGGATTGATGGCGCATCGGGTTAGGTGTCCCACAAAACCAATGCGAGCGTGGAATGCGCATTGGCAGCAGGGGCATGTTAGAAGAAGCGAATGGTTGGCATTGAGGAGGGGCGGCACTTGTGATTTGCGAGTCTATCTTTTGGCTTTGGCGGCGACGATACGATTTGCCCCGTATACGGCAGCGCCAGTCTGTTCTGGGCGAGCACCGGTGGCGACAAGACGGAAAAGTTGTTTCAGCAGACGTGTGTCTTCCATCCTCATGAGATGGCGGCTCCAACGTAGTTGCAGTTGCCTCAGCATGGCCTGGTTGCTGAGTTTTTCGGTCCGTTCTAGATCTTTCATGCCTGGGATCCTGTCTTGCCATATCTCAAAAAGACGGCCTTTTACATGTTCAGTTTGGTATTCAATTGGAGACCGTGAAAATCCCACACGGAGTTCTGCATGCGGCCGAAGGTTTGGCTGGTTTTGGAGATCTGATGGGCCATTTCGTCGTCGATTCTGATGCAGCGTGACATTATGCTGCCCAGGTAGTTGAAGTTATCCACGGGCTTCGGTTCGGTGCTGTTGACGTGGATGCGAGGAACACTGTATTCAGTGTTCGATGGCTGTTGGTGTGCGATCACCGTCTTGTCCGTATTGGTAATCAGTCCGAAGCGGACGCAGCCAGGGGCGAAACGACCCATGTTCCGTTGCATATCTTCTTCGTTCGTGCTGTTGAACGAACAGTCGTCGACGAAGAGCAGCTCGTGGATAGTAGTTGTGGAGAGACGCGTCGTGACCTGCATTCGCCGCCTGTTGGGAAGGTATCCGTCGGTCATGTAGTCGATACGGATCCCGGGCACTCATCACGGTAGGCGTCCATCAGCATAGCAGAGAAAATGAGGGCTGAAGAAGGTAGGCGCGAGTACGCAGTCCTGCTTCAATCTATTAGTCACCGCGAATACCTCGGACATTGCGCCGTTGTCCGTGACGCGGACCATCATCCCATCGTGGAGCTGATGTACCCTGAGGACAGCCGAACTTTTGCATGATTCTCCACAGAGGTTCGCGATCCACTGTGTTGAAGGCTCTCGTCAGATCCACAAAAATGGCGCTGAAGTTGGTCCGCATCTCCTGGCACTTCTCTTTTAGCTGGCGAGCGGCATATTAGTGATTGCACGATGTCACCGGAATCCACATTGGCTTTCAGGCAGAAGTCCTTGCTCTAAGTGGCCGTTGAGACGATTGAGGAGTATGCGGGCGAAGATCTTCCCAGCAATGTTGAATAGCGAGATGTCCCGTGATTGTTAGAGTTTCCGGTTCCCTTTGCGCTTGTACAGGTTGGGGATTGTTGCGTCCTTGAAATCCTGAGGAACCTGCTCGCGGTCACACACCTGAAATAGCGCCATCAGTCGGTGGCCGCCGTGCATGTAGGTTTCATCTGGGATCGCATCAGAGCTTTCCTCTTGGGGGGTTGTTGCGCGGCGCGGATGGGGGAGACGGTCGATGGCGGCGTCGGAGGTTGTGGAGGGATCCTCGAGGACGCTTCTTTAGTGTTCGGCCAAACGCTTCAGAATCTGCGACTTCGTTAAAAACGTTGGCTCATCGGATCTGAGAAGTGGCGCGGTCTCATTGGTTTGGCGGCGTAGATCGCCTTGATCGCAGCGAAGGAGTTCTTTGACCCGTTGCGGTCGGCGTATCCCTGGGTCTCCTCGGCCTTGCGAGCCATCCAGAAGTCCTGTATTATTTCTCGCAACCATTGCTGCGCAAGGCCTCGACCTTGACAGAAGGCCGCACTGTTCGCGTCAGTGGACGGTCGAGATAGGCTCTGTGCAGCCCGTTCTTCTCGACAGCAGGTTACTGACGGCGGCGTCTTTGCCGTCGGACCGGTCCTTGTGCTGGCGACACACACGGCCGACGCCACCCAGGGCGGTCGAATTAGTGATGTCCCGTAGTTGGCATCACCGAGACTTTACGGAGGCGTTCTCATCTGCTGCTGGCAGGTGCCCCAGCCGCTGGGTAAGTTGATTGCTGAAATGCAAACGGTGAGCAAGCAAAGACAGAGACAACAGCTTACCTGGAGTCCTCTTACCTTGTGGCCTTCTGCGAGGTTGCAGACAGATCCTTATCTTGGAGATGAGGCGATGGTCCGTCCAGCCATCACCGTCGCAGATCGCCTTGATCACCACCACATCCTTCTGATCTCGCTGTAGGACTAGAACATAGTCCAGTAGTTGCCAGCGCCGCGATCGTGGGTGCATGCAGGGGGTCTTCTTCCACACCGGAAAGCGGAGAAAGATGTTGGTCAGCAGGAGGCGGTATTCAGAGCGGGTTCGCAGGAGGCCATTGTCATTACAGCCGGCCATTCCGTGAGGATCCAGCACTCCTCTCCAAGCAGCATGGTCGCGGACGTTTAAGTCTCCAGGGACAACCAACTTATCCGCCTTCAGTACAGACGCCAGGGGGACGTGCAGGTCTTCGTAGAACTCAGACTTCACCTCGTCTGGACCGGCCATTGATGATGTTAACGAATTGCGATCCCCGAAGAGGCAGGCGCAGGCACGTCAGTCGACGGGCCGAGCAGTCGTCCCAAAATGTCGTTTCAGATAGCAAAGATGACGCCCGGGTCCCGTCACTCTGCCCTAGGGCGGCCGCTTCAGAAGAAGGTGTAGTCGGCACCCACCTCCTCCAGTTTACTTTTTTCGAGAACCGGGTGAAGTAGGGGGGCAGTGAAGTCAGTTGAGGCGGGTGCGGCGACTGTAGATTGGTGCTCCAGGCAATAGTTCGCCATCCTCCGTGCAATGGATTCGCAAGTGACCGACCAGACCGATGTGTGAGGTGAATGTGCGATTGCAATGGGGGCTGGCATGGGCCGAGTCCACATGGCTGAAGGTGGGAGTGTTGGTGGTGATGGGTCATCAGAAGTCGTCTGATCGGTGTTTGAAGTCGTGGTGGTGGTGGTGGTGCTGGCCGCTGCGGTCGATGCAGGGGCTGGAGCAGGGCAGGTGGTGGGGGGCGGGGTAGCGACAGTGTGATCGCCGGTGACGGGGGTGGCGGTTGGCGCGGGATCTGTGGCAGGGGCGAGTAGGAGAAAAGGTAGACGTTGTAGGGTTGATGGCGCATCGGGTTAGGTGTCACACAAGACCAATTCGAACGTGGAATGCGCATTAATAGCGCGGGCATGTTAGAGGAAGCGAATGGTTGGCATTAAGGAGGTGAGGCACTTGCGATTTGCGAGCCTACCTTTTGGCATTGGCGTCGACGATCCGAGTTGCCCCTATACGGCAGCGCCAGGCTGTTCTGGGCGAGCGCCGGTGGCGACAACACAGAGGAGTTGTTTAGGCAGAAGTGTATCTTCCATCATCACGAGATGGCCGCTCCAGCATGGCCTCAGCATGGCGCAGATGCTTAGTTTTCCGGTCCGTTGCGTTTTCCATGTCTGGGATCCTGTTTTGCCATCTCGGAAAGACAGCCTTGTACATCATTAGTTTGGTATTTACTTAGAGGCCGTGGCAATTCCACACGAAGTTCTGCATGAGGCCGAAAGTTTCGCTGGTTTTGGAAATCCAATGGGCCATTTCGTCGTCGATTCTGATGCAGCGTGACATTATGCTGCCCCGGTAGTTGAAGTCATCCACGGGTTTTGGTTCGGTGCCATTGACGTGGATGCGAGGGACACTGCATTCAGCGTTCGATGGCTGTTGGTTCGCGATCACCGTCTTGTCCGTATTGATGATCAGTCCGAAGCGTACGCAGTCAGGGTCGAAAAGATCCATGTTCCGTTGCATATCTTCTTCGTTCGTGCTGTTGACCGCGCAGTCGTCGACGAAGAGCAGCTTGTGGATAGTAATGGAGAGACGCGTCGTAGCCGGCATTTGCCGCCTGTTGAGAAGGTACCCGTCTGTCTTGTAGTCGATGCGGATTCCGGGCACTCATCACGGTAGGCGTCCATCAGCATGGCAGAGAACACGAAGGCTGAAGAAGATGGGCGCGAGTACGCAGTCCTGCTTTACTCTATTAGTCACTGCGAATGCCTCTGAGACAGCTCCGTTGTCCGTGACTCGCGCCATCATGCCTTCGTGGAGCTGACGTACGATGTGGGTGAATCGCTCGTGACAGTCGAACTTTTGCATAATTATCCAAAAGGTTCGCGATCCACTGTGTCGAAGGCTCTTGTCAAATCCACAAAAATGATGCAGAAGTTGGTCCGCATCTCCTGGCACTTCTCTTTCAGCCGGCGGGCGGCAAAAATCATTAGCGGTTGCGCGGTGTCACCGGAATCCACATTGGCTTTCCGGCAGAAGTCCTTGTTCTAGGTGGCCGTTGAGACGATTGAGGAGCATTCGGGCTAAGATCTTTCCGGCAATGTTGAATAGCGAGATGTCCCCGTGATTTTTAGAGAGTTGCCGGTTCCCTTTGCGCTTGTACAGATGGGGGATGGTTGCGTCCTTGGAATTCTGAGGAACCTGCTGGCGGTGACACACCTCCTGAAATGGCGCCGTCAGTTGGTCCATCAGTTGGTGGCCACCGTGCTTGTAGGTTTCAGCTGGGATCGCATCGGAGGCGAGTGCTTTCCTGCAGGAGAGTTGTTGCGCGGCACGGATGGGAGAGCCGGTCGATGGCGACGTCGGAGGTTGTGGAGGGACCCTTGAGGACGCTTGTGTAGTGCTCGGCCAAACGCTTCAGAATCTGCGACTTCTCCGTCAAAAGCGTTGGTTCATCGGATCTGAGAAGCGGCGCGGTTTCTTTGATTTGGGGGGCGTAGATCACCCTGATCGCAGCGAAGAAGTCATTTGACCCGTTGCGGTCGGCATATCCCTAGGTCTCCTCGGCCTCGCGAGCCATCTAGAAGTCCTGTATTATTTCTCGCAATCAGTTCTGCGCAAGGCCGCGACATTGACAGAAGGCCGCTTTGTTCGCGTCGGTGGACGGTCGAGATACGCTCTGTCCTTCTCGGCGACCAGGTTACTGATGGCGGCGTCGTTGCCGTCGAACCAGTCCTTGTGTTGGCGACGCACACGGCCGAGGCCACCCAGGGCGGTCGAATTAATGGTGTTCCGTGGTTGGCACTATGGAGACTTCACGGAGGCGTTTTCATCTGCTACTGGCAGGTGTCCCAGCCGCTGGGTCAGTTGATTGCTGAAATGCAAACGGTAAGCAAGCAAAGACAGAGACAACAGCTTACATAGAGGTCTCTTACCTTGTGGTTTTCGGCGAGGTTGCAGACAGAGCCTTATCTTGGAGATGAGGCGATGGTCCGTCCAGCCATCACCGTCGCAGATCGCCTTGATCACCACCACATCCTGCTGACCTCTCCGCAAGACGAAAACATGGTCCAGTAGTTCCCAGCACCACGATCGTGGGTGCATCCAGGGGCCTTCTTCCACATCGGTGTGCGGAAAAAAGATGTTGGTCAGCAGGAGGCGGTATTCAGTGCGGGTTCGCAGAAGGAGGCCATTGTCATTACAGCCAGCCGTTCCGTGAGGACCCAGCACTCCCCTCCAAGCAGCATTGTCTGTGCCGACGCGGACGTTAAAGTCTCCAGGGACAATCAACTTATCGGTCTTCAGTACAGACGCCAGGGGGACGTGCACGTCTTCGTAGAACTCAGACTTCACCTCGTCTGGGCCGGCCATTGATGATGTTAACGAATTGGGATCCCCGAAGAGGCAGGCGCAGACACATCAGTCGGTCGTTAATGCGTGCAACAGACAGAGCAGTCGTCCCACAATGTCGTTTCGGATAGCAAAGATGACGCCCGGGTCCCGTCGCTCCGCCCTAGGGCGGCCGCTTCAGAAGAAGGTGTAGCCGGCACCCACCACCTCCAGTTTCCTTTGTTCGAGAACCGGGTCTCGCTGAGCGCATCGATGTAAACCTTGCATAACACCAGTTCCCGAGCGATTAGCGCCGTTCTTCGTTCCGGCCGGTTGCTCCTTGGATTATCCAAAAGGGAACGAACATTCCAGGCTGCCATGGTGATCGGATCCACTCCAGCCTGTGAGGTGGGACGGAGGGAAGGAGGAGGAGAAAGAGAGAGTATTTCGCCTTGTGTTTTGGTTTCAACCGCATGTTTAGCAGTCTGTGAGCCTCGGTCTGCGCTCAGATGTCGTGAACCGTGGTTTGTTCAGGGCACCTTTCATAGTCACCTCGCGGGGAGGGCAGTGCTATTCCTAAATAGATCTTTGTCGCATCAGACGGATACCGCTCACCATTATGGGTCGCGGGGTTTAGTGAGAAAACCACTAATGGCCTGGGCCGCCTATGTTTTGGCTGTCGCTCTCGCCGTAGGACTTTTGACCGTTGGGGAAGAGAGTAGAGAGAGTGAAGGGCAGAGAAAAGGTGGAAAAGAGTAGAATGTGGCAGGTCTTCCAGCCACAGGTTAGAAGCCTGCTGGGTGCTGAAATGAAGAGGTGGACAGGCAAGGATAACCAAGCGGTATTTAGCTTACCTGGGGGGTCACTTACCTTGTGGCCACCTGCGAGATTGCAGACGGAGCCTCATCTTGGAGATGGCAATGTGGTGATCCGTACGGCTACCGGCTGTGGAAGAGGGGCAGAATTACCGCGTGTAGAAATACACACACTGATACCCTCATCTGGTTTAGCCCGCCGGTGGAGGCGGTTACCGGGTGTGGCCGCTAAGCGGAGCCTAGCTTCCAGGAGCCACATGCGAGAGTTGTGTGCCAGTTAATGGATACTAAGCGTAGTCAACACATGCAAGCAAATGAGGTACCTACTACGACCATCACGTGGACCTTGCACCCCTACAAACAGACACCACTTAACTAGTTGATTCTTCAGACGCTTCCGCGCATTCAGAGTATTGTTCGCGGAATCTGTCTACGAGAAAGTGGGTTGGTAATCTGACCGCCTCGTTCCATGTGCCATGGGGTGTTTAGTTGGTTCCAGTGGACGGTTAGCAGTCCAATGGAGTTTTCGCAATCTCATAATGCCTACTTTCAAATCCCCAGTAGGGAATTAATTGTGAGCTTATTATGTTATCGATTAGGACCAAAAGGCGTACGTTAGCATTAGCTGCATTGAAGTATGTTGTTTTCTACCTTCCCAGCCTCGCGCATAGAGCGTCTAGAAGTCGAAGACACAAGTACACAAGCCGACACGGACGTCAACGTGGTGTCTACCTCTTGGCAGACATTGAATACACAATCATCGTGTGCTGCCGTGGTTGCCTGATTTATCCTACCGACTTTGGTCTAATTTTCCTTGTTTTTTTTAATTGAACTATTTTGGTTAATTTTAATCCTCTAAACACGTATCAATTACAGTTATTTTTGTGTCCACCTCAAAGTGTTTCAGTGTAAGTGTATCAGCCAACATTCTGAAAGACAGCAGTACCTCTATTGGGTCAAGACTAAAAAATGCATTTCTGATATGCGATTGTTCCTGGCTTTTAACCTTTTACTCATGTTTGGCAATGCCAGAATCGATATACCTGGGAGTTGATATACAATACAAAGTGCATCTAACTGTCAGCATTCTCATATGGATGATCTCTTGCTATGCGGCGGCCTGCGATAGATCTGGATCATAACTGTATGGCAAATCGAAACGCTCACGCCCCCCGAATTCAGTTGTTTCGACAAAGTAACGTATGGTAACGTAACTGGTAGGGGGGTCTCACCGATCGTTTTACGGAACTCACTCATCCCGTTGTGCCTTAGAGCTCTCTTTTGAGCCCAACCAGCACCCGCACAGCGCCGCATGGTATAGGCAGAATAGCATTACCGGCAAAGAAGGGAGACTGAAATGGCCATTTCTGGCTTATTTACTGTCGTCAGCCAGTCATACCCAACCCCGAAGTGTGGAACACCTGGAGATCGATCCCGCGACCTGTTAGTTAGATGTCCAACGCCTCTAACCACTGAGCCACGGGCTCGTCGTCCTGTCGGTTGAGATCGGGAATATACCATGGTAGGGGAGGGGGGGGGGAGGAGGGCGCCCACCGATCCTTTTACTCATGCTCCGTTGTGCAGCTGCTGGTTGGGCTAGAGAGGGAGCCCTAGGACACAACGGGACGATTGAGTTTCGTAAAACGATCGGTGAGCGCCCCCCAATCATTATATATTCCCGATCGCAACCTACAGGACTACGAGCCCGTGGCTAAGTGGTTAGAGGCGTTGGACTTCCAACAGGTTGGGGGATCGAGCCCCAGGTGTTCCACACTTCGGGGTTGGGTATAACTGGCTGACGACGGCCAATAAGCCAGAAATGACCATTCCAGTCTCCCTTGTCTCTGTCGGTAATGCTATTCTAACGTATAACAGTATATTTTTCTTCGCTGGGTATGGGGATATCGGCGCCACTAGACGTTGGACCAACCTATTTTTACCAGGATTTTGTGGTCAGGATAGTGCATGTGCTCTAACCACTACAGCCCGAGGACCGGTTCCTGTTCAGTCATAGGTGGACGACAGTCAGCAGGTGTGTCACAACTGCAAAAATTATGAGCAGGCCTTAACTGCAAACCCCAGGCCAAATTGAGAATAGGGGAGGGGGGGGAGGTAAAGCAGACCGGCAGCCGGACACTAGACGCACGCCCAGTCAATTGGGGCAGGTATCCGGGTGCCGTGAGTAAGGCCGTGTCCGCGTTAGCTTTGCGTGTCAGAGCCTAACCGACGTGACGGCGAACATCATACACAGCCCGACAACTGTCATTAGCATGCATGGGCAAGCATATGCCAGGTCGAGAAACAGTATGCTAACAGAAATCCTGGGTAGAGTTGCTGCGGTGGCTCCTCCTTGGGTTTCGTGGTCGCCCCGGGAAATGGAGGGGGCGACCACGTTTTGGCTCTGTCATTACAGGATAGACACAGTTGTATTACCATTTCAACGCATAACTGGCACCGCATCAAGTTTACTTACAAACAGATTTTTGGCCTAGTTTAGTATGTTGTGAATGGAATGAAGCTGTGACCGCGACAATAGGTGCAATTTCGAAAAACATGTGTTCAAATATAGTAAGAATAGGTACATAGATATACGTGAGATATGGGTAAAGCACCAATCAGTGTCTCTTAAAATATCTCCCAAAAGCAATTTGTTTGAGCTATTCAGATATTCGTCTCTACAAACCAATTTCGACTTTTAACACGAATCCACAGTTTATAGAGTAGTAGAATGTGGCTCATATGAAATTATTAAATAAGGACGAACATTGGCATATATGATGGACACTGACAAAGTGGCCGAAAGGCTTAGACACTGCGCGTCTCATTGGTAGAATCTGTAACTAGAGTTTGGGGTGATGGATCACTCCATGTGCATTGTGCCACCGCAAATGTCATTAACCGCGTGGGCAGGTGCTGGGGTGGTGGATTCGAGTCTAACACAGTTTAATTTAATGCTGACGGCAAACTCGTACGTCGTCTTAGTACTGGGTTGAATGAACACCGGAAACAAGTTTGCCCGTTGTCGGTAATTGTTGGTTCATAAGACGATCGAGAAAAGAATTTAGAGCACATATGGAAGTGCACCAACCGCCTACACCGGTTGGAGGATCGATGTTTATAATTTGCGTCTAGACCTTAACTTAATTGGTTAAGATTGGTTGGTGACATCTGTCTCTCCTCACAAACGACTATTGGCAATCGCATCCTCTTTATCATGACTCAGAAAAAAAAAACTTGTAGACAAATCAGAAAGCAAAGCTAGTTATGATTGAGCGCAGCCCGTTTTGGCATTTGCATGCCCGCCTAACGTCGAGGTTACCAATTTTCCAATAAGTCACGATCAGACCAACTACTACGACCCTTAGGATAGGTCCCGAGTAGAATTGTTAACGTATGGACAATTGTATTCAATGCACAGTGAGGAATATATCGCTGTGACGGTTTGGCAACCGCACAAAAGTGCGCCTCTGGCCTCACTGGAGCGGGCTTCTGAGCGCCTTGAGGGTGTGTTCACGACAGTGATGAAATGGGTTGACGAAAAGGCTCGCAGTACCCGCGATTGACCGGACGCGATGAAGAGCAACAGAAAGTCGCAAGTACCAGGTCAGTAGGCTGCCTTCAGGGCACACGTGAAAGCATGCGCGGTGGAGAGAAACGAGCGCCGGGAGACTACCGACGGCTAAGTGGGGTCCCTCACTCATTCCACCGCCATGGGCGTTCTTGTTCGTGCACGCCGCCAACACCAGGGTTGGTTCGGACGAAATCTCCAGCGTTCATGCCATGTTGTGGCAAATCCAGCAATAGTGGGGCATCCACCTAGCAAGGATGGATTGTGGGCGCGCACCCAAGTTGTTATTCAATGGCGACGTCGCCGCGGGTACTCGTCGTGAGGTAGGGTAGAAAAGTTACAAGGACACTGAACTCCCCCCCCCCTCCCTCAGGAATCAACAAATCGACGATGCGACTTGAGAGGACCTCGTCTAGGAGAAGAGCGGTGGAAATCGTCGCTGCCGTAGCCAAAAGAACGGCTCGCAAGACTCGAATTTCCCGGAGCATCCCTTCTGTCTTGTCTACGATGCCAATGGACATCCTGCAGACGGGTTGGCCTTGTCGGACCTCCACGGACCCAATGCACTGCCATCGCGGCACCCCATCCGTCCGTCTCGGAAACCGCCTCCACCTTAAGTTGTTCCACCACCCTCCCAAGACACCGACTATCTCCGCCGCCGCCAGCTTCCCTCTACTGTGGTGCCACGTTATCACGCATTGAACTAATCGGTCACTTGCTAATCCATCGCAAAGACCGGCAAACCAGAGTCAGGAGCATTAACATACACCCGTCGTACACGCCTCAATGCCGCATGATAGTCCGACTGTTGCGAACCGCGTCCCGCCGCATGGCGGGCGCAGGGCCGTGAGCTGTGCAGCATATACCGCACACTCCTGGATCCGGTAGTAAGGGCGGGTCAGAACGACTGGATGCGGGATGAGGCGCATTGGTTAACAAAGCTAAACAGTCCGCCTGCGAGTGCTAGACACGTCTGGTTCGAGCAAGATAGACGATGTTTTCACAAAAACCTGCGTCCTCAGGTGAGGAATTAGACCCAGTAGATAAAACACAATCCCACACAACATGATTTGGTGTCTCGACACTTCCATACTCCCATAAAACGGCAGCGATCGGCCAGAACATCATATTCTACCAAGCATAGAAGAATACGAACGTGAAACAATAAATAGCCCTCCGCCCCTAGGTATTTCTCAACAGAACTAGAGTGCGAGCTGTAATTATATGAATACAAACACCCGAATGCGAAACACACAAATCAATCGCGTCAGAGAAACGACGATTTTAGGAATGTGAGCGCAACGTAGAAGTATCAATTTGAGACCGACTGTCTGCAGTGGTCGGTTGGCGAGTAGGAACGTGATTAAGACTTTCGTTCGAGAAACACGCAGGGAAGAGCGAGGAGGAACAGAAAGGCCGAAGTAACAAATCAAGTCTTATTATTTGCGCAAGCTTGTTCACACGTTTCACTAATCAGACAAAACGAGGGGGAACAGGACGAAAGAAGGAACATTAGATTGCAACTGGCACGGTTAACGGGCATTTGTACGGGAAGGCAGAAGAGAGCAGGAGCGTGTAGTGTTAGGACCGGAGCGGGTCCGGGGAATGCAAAACCGGCCGCAGAGAGAGAGAGGTCACCTCCAAAAGACTTCCAGCAATCCTAGTCGGTCTTTCGCGAGACTATGTCGTCACTTCGATCACACAGCAAGTCCGAGGCGTGAACGTATTTAGTGCTGTACTTCTTGCTCAGGTGTTTGCGTTTCACGGGGCTGAGTCGGGTGCACTTTTGACGTATGACGTGGACAGTCGTGAGAAGATTCCCTGACGCCACTAGACCGTAGATCAGGCCGACCGCAAGAGGCTATCGGAGCAGAAGGGAGAGAGATGGGGATTTTGTGGGAATTAAATACGACAAAATACCACTTCTGAGGAAGGCAATCAAGAGGTAGACGGAGATGACTATCTTCCACTAAGGACGTGATAGATGCTAGAAATTGCCTGGTACGGCGACCGTTGTTATTTAGTGCAACAGAATCAGAGTCAGAAAGGTTCGTATAGCCGGTTCGGAAGCCTCGCGTTTCCATAGGGCGTCTTTAAAACATTCGTACATTAAGCATAACAGCAAAGAAAGTTTCTCAGGTCATTTGACATCACAGGTTGGATAAGGGCGTCTGACAAAGGTTATCGGACAATAGTAATGGACTATGCCCTGAGGG